TTTGGTTTTTTTTGAGACAGAGTCTTGCTGTTTTCTAGGCAGGACTTGAACTTGTGAACTTGCTGCCTCAGCCTCCTAAAATACTGGGATGGCAGGTGTGCACCAACAGGGGAAGCAGTTGATTGGGGAATGGTAAAAACCTGCCAGGATGAGGCTGCCCCTGTGAAAACTTTCTTGCAGTTTTAAACAAAGAAATTACTAAGGGTGAACAGCTTGAACTCGAAAACACAGGGTTCTTGTTAGACTTTTCTAGAGATTGGACGTTAACAGTGAGCATGCGTGAAATGTGAAGTTTGGTGGAAGTTTATGGAGCTTAACAGTGTGTCTTAGTGTCCTTTGTCTTTTAGAAGTTGGTAAGATTTCTAGGTTAATCAGTAATAAAATGTGAAACAGTATGTGTGGAAGTTGAGTCTTGTCATTTTTCCTGGTTGTCCTGGTCCCCAAGTCCCTCCACACAGGTCCATGTATTATGCAGATTGAGACCCTATAGGTTTTCTTTATGGCTGCTTAACGTTTTGGGATTAATTATCTGGCAGATTGTTTTCCTACTTTAATGGATAGAAAAGAGTAATTGACTGACCGGGATATTAAAGGTGTTGAGTGTTCGCACCCAACTAACTGCCTTCTTATCTCATTTTGAAACGGTTTACAAGTGACTAAAGGAAGGCAGTTAGAAAGTGCTGAGATGTGATGAATAGTTACAAATTGAAGGCAGATTTGGGAGTAAGGGTGAGGATGATGGGTAGGATAAGGACCTGCTTCATTTTAAGGATAAATGTTAATAAAAAGCATAAGCTTGTGCTTTGAGGTACTATATGTTTTCATCACTTTGCTATAACTTTTTTTATCATTGTCATTCACAGGTGAAAACAGCATGAATTCTAGGGAAACAAAAGGTAACGGGAAAAAACCATTACCTGCTAGATTGATTCTTTTTTTTTTTTCTCATTGAGTTTACTGGTACATTTTAGGTATGCAGTACAGTTACACTCATCATTGGGATCTGGTACCTTTACATGACAGGTCTTGGTTCTCATTGTTTCCCCCTCCCCTTGCCCTTCCTTCACCCCCTCCTCCTAGAGTGATTCTTTTAGTGCATGTGCTGCGGAAGTGAGCATGTCTACATTGATTCTTAACAACGTTCACAGGCTGTAAAGTTTTTTTGACAGTGGTTTTAAAAATTAAGAAAGTGGCCAGGTGTGGTGGTGCACACCTGTAATTCCACTGTTGGGGAGGCTGAGGCAGGAGGATCATGAGCTCAAGACCACCCTGGGTTACACAGCAAGACCCTGTCTGAAAAAAACAAAAATAAATAAATACAAATTAGGAAAGTGGAGACTATTGGTGCCAGACATATGAATAGATTTACCCATTTAGTCATCAAATATTTGAACTCATATTGTCTGCCATGGCATTGGAAATTCAAAAATCAGGTGATATCCACCTTTAAGAGTTTATGGTTTGGATCGGGGATTTAGCTCAGTGGTACCACACCTGCCTGGCAAGTGCAGGGTCCTGAGTTTGATCCTTAGTACAAAGAAAAAAAAAAAAGAGTTTATGGAATGATAGAATAGAGACCCATGCAGAGACTTCTAGAACAATGTGAGAGATAGCATGAGGTGTCACACCGGGTATGTCCGGGAAGGTATTGAGGGCTCGCTGGGGGAGATGATGCTGAGCTCAGACTTTAAGGTTAGGTGGGTGAAGAGGGGAAATATGTCACCTCTGATGTCACCTCTGAAGGGAGAGCCTGTTGGGACTCACAGATTGACATGGGCCTTAGAGACCAAGCCTAGTTTTTTTAATCAGGGGGTTTGGGTCTCGGAAAGTTGCAGTGATCAGGTTCACATAGTGATGAGTACACGCCTTGTGAGCGTTTGAAGAATGTCTTTGCTTGTGGGTTTGTTTGGCGGCTCAGGATGGTATTTGTTACCTAGCTTAACCCTCTGACTATTTAGATTGGTCAAGACTGACCATAGGTTCATAAAGAGTGGAGTTTATTGTGTATTAGCCTACTTGCCCTGCAGATGTCAATATTTAGGTATATGATATTTTTCTGAAGGCAAATGCATATTTTTAATTTATATATATTTAACAGAAGCCTGGCTTTTGGAGTACTCTGCAGGTCACCCTAAGTGATTTCATCTGAACTGTTAGGAATTGCATAATTTAGGAAAGTTCCCAGTCACGTGAGCTAAGTCATGATGGTATCTTGTTGAAGTTGCAGCTGGAATGTATAAGTCTCACTTTGATTTCAAAACTTTTCCCTTTGTGTTACTGTTAATAAAAGGATGTAGTGGGTGTGAGGAAAAAATATAGGTTACAGATGAGGGGTGAACACTTGTATCTAAAGCGTGTATTTTGAAATTTTCCTTGGGCTTATTGGCATGGGGTTCTCTATAGAAGTGCTCATGTCATTATTATTACTGGCATGTTTTTGTGGTACTGGGGAGCTGATCTGACTCAAGTGTACTCTGCCACAGCCTGTCATCCCTTGACTTCTAAAATAAATTTTTACTTTGCAACAGGCTATTGCTAATTGCCAGCGCTGGGTATGAATTCCTGCCTCAGCTGGAATTACAGGTGTGCACCACCAGGGCTAGCTCTTTTTTTTTTTTTTTTTTTGAGTGTTGTGGAACTAACTCAGCACTTGTGCTTGTCAGGCAGGTGCAGGAACCACTGAGCTAAATCCCTGGCCGTTATCAGTTCTTTTTTATTCAGGATTTTGATATCTGGCTTCCTCTTTTCATATTAATTTTGCTTATAAGCTGCAGTTTTCTTGAAAGTTAAAACACTTAACCACCCTACCTCTTGCAGGAGAGATATAATGTAACCCCCTTTGTATTAGTCAAAACGATCCATGGTATTTCTAGGACAGAATGAAGACCTAAGCAGAGAGAGCCATGGTGAGTAACTGGAGGAATCCTTGGCTTTCACAGTGTTTTCCAGAACGTTAAGTGTGGTGTCCTTTAAGGCCATTTGTGGTTGATTTTAGGATTCTTCACCATTTGTATTTGTGAGAAAGTAGTTTGAATTAAGTCCGATGAAGGTTTACAGGGAAGGGGAACAGGAAAAAGCTTCAAGGAGTCAGGGAAGTGAAGTGAAGGGCCTTTCAGATACTTTATCTCTTGGCCCTAGAATCTCCCACAGCAGTGTGTATCTCTCTCCCTCCCCACTTCCTATTTTTTCTCTCCTCTTAAGTTATAGACTCTGACAAGTTTCACCCATAGCCCTGGTCTCCCTCACCATCTTACTGAATTACCCTCAAATACCAGGGACAGTTTTGTGTACAGCTATATGTATATGTGCTTGTATACCCCCCAAATCATATACACACTTTTTTTTGGAACTACACAGGATTGAACCCGAGAGTGTGCTACCACTATGTTGCATTGCTGGCCCTTTTTATTTTGAGATAGGATCTTGCTAAATTGCCCACACTGACCTCAGATTTATAATCCTCCTGCCTCAGCTTCCTGGGTAGCAGGGATTACAGGCCGGCACCACCATGCCTGGGGATACACACTGTTTAAAAGTTGAAATATTAGGCTGGTCATTGTACTAAGGTAAGTTGCCTTGAAAGCTTATCCCAGAGACCTAGTCGTTCGGGTGTGAAGAGAAGGGTGGCGTGCAAGGTCAGGTAACAGCAGAGGCACACAGGGACTTAGTGTGCAGGCATCCTGTGTGAATAACTGTGGACTGCAGATTATATCAGAGGAAAAAGGAGGATACAGACCTCTGGCGCCTTGCTGAGTGCAGCCCCTGCCCCACCTCTTTCTGACCAGGGAGCCCTTCAGGCCCCACCCACCTTGTAGCCTTTTTTCCCTCTGGCCTTTATCTACACTGAAGTTACAAGGAAATTTCTAACTTGCTGCTGTTCCCTTATCCAATCCAAATCCTTAATTTCTTTTTTTCATTTGCAGCCCTTTTTCCTGGCCTGTCCAGCTTTACACCTCATCATATTCTTGCTGTGTTTTCTTTCCCTCTCCCTTGCTCTCCCTCCCTCCTGCCTCCTCTCTCTCTCCCTCC